GTTGGGTTTCGATCCTGGCTTCAGGCAACCAGATGTCTAGCCACACTAATAAGTTGGGAAATAGTCTGTAGGTGACAATGTATATATTATTTTTATTATAAGAGATTATAATAAAAGCATGTTGAAATCGCCACACAAAATCTTTGATGTTTCAAGACTATGATTGTACTTCTTCAGGCGATGGTAAGTAACTGGTGATTAGTGATTTTTAAGGAAATTTAAAAGCAAAGTGTTACCTCTTTTCCTAAAGTTTTAGTAGTGGGGACATAAGGTCAGAATTAAAAATAAATTTCTGGTATGTCTTGATTAACCAATTAAATGTCAGATCTACTCTAAATAGAATAAGTAAGCTCAGAGGGTGAAGGTGGGTGAGTTATTTTTTATGTCATGATAAACCGGAACATAGACAGGACATGACTGAGAATTGCAGAAAATAAGCCAACGACAAATATATATAAATTACAATGAGTCCATTCTAATAATATTTGAAGTAATATATATATATATATATATGTGTGTGTGTGTGTGTGTGTGTGTGTGTGTGTGTGTGTGTGTGTGTGTGTGTGTGTGAAGAAAAATATATACGGAAAAACAAACAAAAACCCTTATATACAATTATGCTGTTTTAATGTTAATATGTCAACGTCGGACGTTTCGGTCTAATAAACCATCTTCAGCGTCGCCCACGTGACGACAACGTGAACATGCTTTAAACGGAGCGCTGATCTTATAAAACTTTCAGCTATTTGTTTGGATAAGTCTTGTTCTTATGTACATCGTCTTTGTCATGTTGTATTGATAATGTTATAATTTATGAATATGTCCTGAAGATGGTTTATTAGACCGAAACGTCTGACGTTGACATATTAACATTAAAACAGCATAATTGTATATAAGGATTTTTGTTTGTTTTTTCCGTATATATTTTTCTTCATACTGTCGGATTTATATCCATATATTTGCTTACATATATGTGTGTGTATGTATGTATGTATGTATGTATTACGTCCACAAAAATGATGATGAGCAGAAAGAGAAAAGTGTAATCAGGTAGGCAGTATATGGCGATTGAAAATTGGATTTAAATTTTTCAGATTGAAGTTGGCTGGGAAGCATGGAGCCAGAAGGGAGGAGCAAAAGCGAGAAGTGCGAGAGAAGAAGCTGTTAGCATAGAATTGGCTTCTACATCAAGCCAGCTTAACTGATGACGTAGCTATAGGTTCTATCTTACAACATTCATTATAGAATCATTATAAGGCACATCGAGAAAATATAATTTGTAACACAATAGTCAAGCCCTCTATATAGCGAATCAGTAAGCGTAGATGTTGAACGAAGACAAAAATATGGAACAACCAATGAGGATTAAACTAACTATTAAGTCGTAATTGATCAAGGGAGATAACCATCTTGGTGAACGTCAAAAACGACATTATTTTTGCACCAACCTAATCCGTCGTAGAATGTAAAAAGCTAAAACTAAACTTACTTTCGCATATGCACTCATTGCCAATAAGCAAAATTCGTATTTCTCAATGTCCTAATATAAACGAAGGGAACTTTATTTCTATAAAAATAAAAAAAAATCCGTTAGTATGATACCTCTCTGCTTTGGCACCCAACCGAATCCCCTTGTCGATAAAAGACAGCAGACATTTAAAAAAGTATCAAACGTGCGAAATTAATATTCTCTTTCGACAACAATGTTTCCAAAATAATTATCCAATATTAAACAAACACTCCTTAAATATGGCCTTTTCAGTGATATAGGCGATGAACAAATAAAATCATTTCTATGGACAATTGAACATCTGCGATCGATAATAAGACCTATTTCAATCGTAACTATAAAAGATTATTATCATAGCTTACTGTAAGTAGATGCACTGAAATAAGACGGCAAAGCAATATAAAATATATGCCTTCAATATACCAATCGTGAAAAAATTTGTATATATCACATCATACCCTACGAAAAAAATAGAACTAATAATTTTATTTTTACTAATGCTGCCACATATTGTCTCTATTTAGAGATGATTGATAAAATCCAGAGAAGAATCTGCAATGTTATTTATCCTGACCTGACATCTCAGCTTCAGTTACTTCCCCACCGATATAATGTAGCTCCCCTATGTCCTTTCTCTAAATACTTTCAACCTTGTATATCTGTCTATATTTCTGGGATGAGTTAATATGTACACTATTTACATTGTTCGGACTATCACCTTCATCTTTGTTGCCATATTTATCACAACGTTTCGCCCGTTGTATGCTCCGGGCGTTTTCAGGTGGTTGGAATGTCAAACTGAACCCTTTATTTCACTCGCTGGGGTAGACCCTTCTAGTTCCACGTTTAATGGATGTCATTTATCAGTTATCTTCTGTTAATTCCCCTCTCAAAGTTCTCCACTGCCTTAACCAGGTATTGAACTCACAACTCTTTGGCCCTGTCACTGGATCTAACCAACGCCTTTATCCACTGTGCCATGTGTGTTTAAAGATATCCGCGTATGAATTTCTGCGACATAAACTTAATATCTTCAGCAACATTTTTACCAGTGCTCATATTGCAATTTTTGCTGTTATCAATGCTGTTTTTACCAGAGCTCATATTGCAATTTTTTTATTATCATCTCTTTTCTCTGGCAATCCTTATTCACATATTGTATTCATTTCTATGCTTGGTCGGCTCAGGAAATTCTTGTAGCCTAGCATATGTACTGATTCCTTAAGGTTACGAATTTCCCAATGATGTTCTTTGTCTATGATTTCAACCTGATCCCACAAAGGGCGGTGATCTCCCTTTTCTCTCCATATGTGGTCAGCCACGCCTGATTTTTCCACTTTTGGTGTTCTTGAATCCTTACCTTAAGGTGGTGGCCTGTCTCTCCTTTATATTTCTTTCCCCAGTTGCACGGGATTGCGTACACACAGTCTTTAGTCATGTTCTTCTCTATGGATATCTCATATTTGGGCTATCTTAGTTTCAGTTACTTTCCTTTGCTAACCCAACTCTCCAATTTTTTGTTCTCTCTGCTGTGGCCACGTATTGAACTCAAAACGCTTTGGGTCAGGTTACTTTCTGGATTACTTCAACCAACGCTTTTAGCCACTGGGTCATTTTTTGTGTGAATTTTGAGCATTTATAAACCTAATATCTCGTTACACATTTTTTACCAGAGCTCATATTACAATTTCTGTTATTGTTGCTTTTCTTTAACTGAAACTGAGATATCCAAAAACGGCATGGCACGTGGAATGAGAACAATCTACTCCCGTGGACTAAATAAAGGGTTCGAAATTCCAATGCATATCACCTGAAGATATTTGGAGCGTGCAACGGCCGAAACGTGAATATGCCAATAAAGACGAAAACAACAGACCGAACGATGTAAATAGTGTAAATATTTACACCACTTCATTTCAGAAATATCGACAGATACTAAAATTCAAATTCAAATGGGTAACACTTGGAAATCATTGAGAAAATAAAGATATAATCATCTATCTGATCTTCCACTATACCTTAAGCAAAAGGTTAGGAAAGAAACTGCATATGTATTTGTCTTTGTGTTTATACAAATACAACCTTATTTCTTTAACTCGAGTCATGTTCTTAAATAGCCTCGTGAGATTGAAGCTTACGCATGGATGTCATGCATGTCTCTAAACCCATTCAGAAATACATAAATTGTTTGCTGTATAAAAAAAATATACAACCACTTTATAATATCAGTTGCTGTTGTAGAGTAGCTATCACCACCTTCAACACTCTACCAGATGGACTGATTCGTAGTCTTAAATACTCTACGATCAGTTTATTAATAAGTTGACAATAAGCTAATTAATATTCGGACTGATCTTTCTTCGTTTGGCTATACAGCATTTGACCCTCCTGTATCCCTTGTAAGTTGTCTTGTTAATTGTTTTATAACTTATTGTACTGTGTTTTTTGTAAGTATCCGTTAGCGCCGGATTCATGGTGCTGAATAAATATATAAGACACTCATTCTTCTCTGTCTGTCATTCACCTCGACGATACAACATTTGCTAAAGATGACTTTCAGTGAGTGAAACCTGTGAGTTTTAGCGAAAAAAATGTTTCTTTGAACCTTGCGACCTGGCGATACATAATCACAAAGAACTGTACCAAATAACAGAGACCACATTACTTGAGATCTTCCAACAGCAGCAACAACTAAAAGGGATAGCACATGTAACAGAAAATAATGTCATAAGAATTAACCTTCCATACTAATTCAAATAAAAGGTAAGGAAAGAAATATCCTCTACTATTGGAAACATCAACAGGACATGAGTAACCTATTTGCTGGAAAATTATTTTAAGAGAAAAAATTATATATTTCAGCTGGCACCAGTACTGGATATTTGGTTAATGAATGCCAAATGTTTCCTTATAGGGAAACGGCTATTATTGGCATTATATTACCATATACCTTATATAATCGCATATCATGTGACTTTTGAAGATCTAATTTTAAGAGGTTCCCATCATACATGAGATATAAAATTAGCGTATATACTGCTGACCTTGGCTACGACATGAACCAAACTATACATCCATTTACTGTAGTCAGAAAGTACAGTGGCATTTAAAATATGCATGATTTTGATAAAGCTGATGTTTTACTTAAATTTATCCAGTAATAATGCATGTAATATTCACATATTAATAACGTATTATTAAATTCAAATATAGCGAATAAGCATCTTTTCCATCTTTTAAGTTTATAAGATGTTTTACGTTCGGTTGTTTATGGCTGTAAGTGTTTACGCAACGAGTATAGCGTTACTAACGTTACACGAGGGACATGATAAAATTATTTTTTATAAGTGAATATTTGGAGGGGGTGAACTTTACACGAGATCGTGCGTTACACGAGTATATACGGTGCATATTCGTGTATGTCGAAAAGATTTTTATTCTTTTGATCTATCTACCAATCAATATCAGTCGGCTCATATTTATCTATCAGAGGCTGTTCAAATATAGCTGTGCTTGTTTTCATATCTATCTATCTTCTATCTATCTATCTATCTATCTATCTATTACAGTCTATGTTCATATCTATCTATCTATCTATCTATCTATCTATCTATCTATCACAGTCTGTTCATATCTATCAATCTATCTATCTATCTATCTATCTATCTATCTATCTATCTATCACAGTCTCTTTTCATATCTATCTATCACAGTTGCTGTTCATATCTATCTATCTATCTATCTATCTATCTATCACAGTTTCTGTTCATATCTATCTATCTATGCTTGTTTTTTCTATCTTCATATATATATATATATATATATATATATATATATATATATATATATACTCTACATATTTATCTATCTATATCAAGCTGTTCTTATCTATCTATCTATCTATCGATCTATTGATCTATATATTTCTCTCTGTTCATCTATGTATCTATGTGTGTCTATATAACTATCTCAGTGTTTATATATAAATTTATCTATCAATCTACATGTGTTCATCTATCTATATCAGTTTATACATCTATCTCTGACTTTTCATCTATCTATCTATCTATCTATCTATCTATCTACCTACTTTTCTCTCTCTCTCTATCTATCTATCTATCTATCTCTTCTCTCCGCCGATACGTATAGAAATGGACTCTGTCCACGCAAGGATTGTTAAGACAGACGATCGATATCTTCGATTGTTGAAATAATATATACAGTGTATGTTCGTGTATATTCAAGACATTTTTATTCTTTTCACCATATATAACCTCAGTCAAATTGCTTCGTTTCTTGGAAGGAAAACACTGCGGTTTGTTATTGCCTTTAACCGCCATTGCAGGTTAGAATTCATATCGAGCATGCAATTATCTGAGACTAAAAAGAGAAAAGAAAATTTCGAAAAACAAGTTAAGAGTGAAAGACATTAAAAATACATCTGAACAAGTTAAAGTTTTTTTTTTCTTTGCTCTAATGGAGATAAATTAGCTTCGTCTTTCTCGAGTTTTTCTTTACGCCTGTTTTGCTTTATCCAAATATTTCTGATTTTTTTTTTCCAGTCTTTAATCTTTCATTTTTTTTTGTCTCTTGTTCGATTTGAATTCTCTATTTGTATGTGAGAGAAATAATTATTTTAAATTAATTAACCATTCCTTTCCTATCAAGACGTCTTGTTTCTAGTGATTTCGACGAAGCTTTCTAACTTTGGTTAGTTAACGTCTCTTTTAATTCTCAGAAATTCTTGTACAAACTTTACGACATCGAAAATCGCGATGCCTTCGAGAAACCACTCCTTATACAGAACATTCACCACTCAACGCGATTTCAATATAATGGCTTATTTCTTTCGTTTCTACCAGGTTTCCTTATAACTTAGCCGACATAATTGTATTTTGTCTAGCTTATTCATGATGACAAAGTTATGACGTATTCTCCCGGCGAGAAAATCTCCTACAGCGGAAAGGCTCTATAGAAAGAGTGTCTGGGTCTCTTTCAGAGTGGTTATTTATTACACAACGGGTGGCATTGTACACACATAATACATACATATATATATATATATATATATATATATATATATATATATATATATATATGCAAAGAGACAGACGGGGAAGAAAGAGATGTATTCATTTAGAATTCATGTATGTGTGTGTGAGTGCGGCTGCCAAAGAAAGTGAAGACGAAAACAGGGGAATCATAAAATTATTTATTGTGTTACTTATGAAGACTTTCGGGAAGCTTTTGGGTAAAATTACGAAAATGTTTTGCGGGTTATGAAATCAAAAGTTACAATAAAATCGAAATATTAATATTGTATAATTCTTTAAACTATCTATCTATGTGTGTTCATGCATCTATCTCGGTTTATGGATGTATTTCAGTCTTTTCCTCTATGTATCTTGCGAGCTAGCTATCGTTTTCTCTATGCATCTGTCTTCCTTTCTATGTCTTTGGGTGTGTTTATCTATCTATCTATCTATCTATCTATCTATCTATCTATCTCAGTCACTTCATATTTATTTATCTATCTCAGGCGGTTCATATCTATCAATTAAGCGATGTATCTATCTGCCTATCTCTGTTCACATATCTAGCTAGCTATCTATCAATCAATATCACTATGTTCATATTTAATTATCAGAGGCTGTTATCTATCTATCTATCTATCTATCTATCTATCTATCTATCTATCTATCTATCTATCTCAGTCACTTCATATTTATTTATCTATCACAGGCTGTTGATATCTATCAATTAAGCGATGTATCTATCTGCCTATCTCTGTTCACATATCTAGCTAGCTATCTATCAATCAATATCACTATGTTCATATTTAATTATCAGAGGCTGTTATCTATCTATCTATCTATCTATCTATCTATCTATCTCAGTCACTCCATATTTATTTATCTATCTCAGGCGGTTCATATCTATCAATTAAGCGATGTATCTATCTGCCTATCTCTGTTCACATATCTAGATATCTATCTATCAATCAATATCACTATGTTCATATTTAATTATCAGAGTCTGTTATCTATCTATCTATCTATCTATCTATCTATCTATCACATCCTATTCCTATCTATCTATGCGATTCTGTTCTTATATATTTTCTCACAGTACGAATCTATCTATCTATCTATCTATCTATCTATCTATCTATCTGAACCTATTCCTATCTATGCGATTCTGTTCTTATATATTTTTCGCACTCTGCGTATCTATCTATCTATCTATCTATCTATCTATCTATCTATGTGCGTTCATGTATGTATCTATCTATTTCGGTTTATATATGTATTTCAGTCTTTTCATCTATATATCTTACTAGCTAGCTCTCGTTTTCTCTATGTATCTGCCTTTCATCAATCAATCTGTTATCATTAATGAAGAGGGTATTATTGATATAGAATCCAATACGATTGTATCTCTCACTGATATATATATATATATATATATATATATATATATATATATCTCAGAAAGAACAGTAAGATATATAATCCGGTGTTTTTAGATATTTTTAGTTTTACAAAATAGTGCTCAATTGCTGTAAATTTACAGAGCATTATTATTGTAAATTAACTGGTTTAAAATATGTTTTTCGCTACAGATTTCTAACCATGTTTCAAAAATGAATATAATGTACATACTACCTCATCTCAGAAATATATATATATATATATATATATATTTCTGAGATGAAGTATTATGTACATTATTTACACTTTTCGGATTATTGTCCTCATCTTTGTCGCCATATTTATTACAACGTTTCGGCCGTTGTACGCTCCAGCCTTCTTCAGGTTGTTGGACTGTCGAACTTAACTCTTTATTTCGCTCACTGGGGTAGACTCTTCTAGTTCCACGTGCCATGTTTAATGGATGTCAGTTATCAGTTATCTCTTGTTAATTTCCCTCTGAAAGTTCTCCACTGCCTTAACCGGGTATTGAACTAACACTCTTTCGGTCCTGTCACTGGATCTAACCAACGCCTTTATAAACTGAATGTGGCATGTGTCCTTTAGGACATCTGTGTATGAATTTCTAGGTATTATAAACCTAATGTCTTCAGCAACAATTTTTACCAGTGCTCATATTGCAATTTTTTTGCTTTTATCATTTGCTATGGTAAAAAATGCAATAATGTAAATAATATATATATATATATATATATATATATATATATATATATATATATATATAATGGTAAAAATCAAATAGATCCTATTAAAATAAAACATTAAAGCTGATCCACAAAAGAGAGTTCAATATATTTCTTATAAAGTATATACGGGAATTACAAAATTGCATCACAGATTACCCCATTCAGATGGCCATTTTGTTCCTAGGGGATTCTCCCTAGGACTTGTCAATGCAAATATGTTTGTTAAAGAAATGAATTCTAAATTTTCTTAAGAAACTTGAAAAATAAAAATTAAGGAAAAAAGGAAGAAAGGAAAGAAAGAAACAAGAAAGAGGGAAAAGAAAGAAGAGGAACAAACAACAAATAAGGGAAATGAGATTTATAGAGAGATAGAAAGACAAAGCAACTAAGCTAGTTAGGTTGGGAGTGATCAGAACAAGTCTAAACAGAAAAAAAGACGGTTGAAGATTAACACAGGCTTAAATTTAAAATATTAACACTTGTACAAATAGAACAAATTTACATTAACTAATTTACATAAAAAAAAACAAACATAAAAGTCATGTAAAAGTGGATCTTGAAAAATTTTATATAAAAGAAAATATTGTTATGGCCCGGTTCCTTGTAGCACGGTGATAGTCCAAGGTAGAACCAATCAAGAAGAACGCGAACACAAGTATGGAATAACACAGATATATTACAAACAGGAATATATACAGAGAAGTAGAAGTGTTAGTATGAACAATCAGGTTTAGTAGTGAGAACAATGTAGTCTCGACCAGTATCACTATTCCAATGTCTTGCAGTAATTGTTTGAACGCGACTCTGTTTCAGACTGCCTCTGACTCGACTCTTGACTCGACTTGAACTACTGACTATATTTAGTCACCCCCCCACGTGTGCATCATGTGGCACAAGGACGGTTTAACGTGGGCTGTTCGAAAATATTTTCTGCCACTTAATTTAGTGAATACTTCTTGACTGGGTAGAGGATAGTGGTAGTCCTTTATTGCTGCGTTCAAACCTGTAGAAAAATCAGCACAAACTCGAATTTCTCCTGATTTCTTTTTGATGTAGACCGTCGGTGCGGCCCATTTGCTGTATTCTACTTTTTTCAATATGCCCGTATTTTCGAGTTAAGTTAATTTTTGGTCAATTTTTTTTTTTTTTCAAACGGTACGCTCCTTTTTTTTCTTGAAAACAGGTTGAACGTTTTGCTTTATTTCGATATTAGCTGCCATTTTCTTACATCTTCCGAGACCTGCTGAAAATACTTCGGGGAAACTCGTTTTTAGTTTTCCTTTTAATTTGTTCGCCTCGGTTGATAAGCTTTTTACATTTTGGCAGTACGTACTAATAGGTAAATCCCATAATTCGAGGCAGGGAAAGTCGGCTAAATAGGCGTCGAAATGAGCACAGCTCAGACCGGGATCCCTGGTGAAAAGATCCTGAAAGTAATCTCGAAAGGCCTCGCATATACCCGCGTTTGTAGTCACGGCCCGCTTATCCGGCAATGTGACGCACGCTATATGTCGCCTAGACGCGTTCCGATTCTCCTCTGCACGCAGTTCAGCGGCCATATTCGTCGCCTCAGAAGACATTCTTTTTAACCTAACCCTACCTACCAGAGCTTGATCCTTCGTAATAAGCAAGGAGGACAACTCTGCCTTAGCTAAGGCTATTTCCTCACTAACACGGGATTTCACGGCCGGATCAACTTTTTCTTCTAAAGCCGTTTCCACCGCTAATCTATCTAGATTGAGTCGACGACTAAAATCGGCAGCAAACGTTCTAATTTTTATTTTAAATTAACCCACAAAGCGTTCCCCACAACCGCCCCCCGTCAATTCCCTCTGAATCATTAGTAGCAACTGGTCCCGGAAATCCTGCTCACCAAATAGTGAACAGTTTAATTTCCAGTACCCAGCCAACCTAACCTTAGGCTTATCTGCGTTTACACGGACCCGGACAAGCCTATGATCCGTATAAATTATATAGTGGAAGCTTGGACACCCTAAGAGCCCAACATCGACTCTCCTAACTAGGACTCGGTCGAGGTAGCTAGCAAGCGTCCCAGGAGCCGAGTTGCCACTATTTGTCTAAGTCCATACTACCTCCCGAGTGTGTTCATTCAGGAACTTATCGACAAGATCAAACTCATTGATAAAGTCCCGAAATGGTTTCACGTCCGGGTGGTTAGTACCCTATTTTTACATTATACGATCTATATCGGGGTCAAAGACGGCATTCCAATCCCCCGCTAAAACTACCCGACGAGATGTCGTCAAGTACGACCCGATCTACCGAAACAAAGCAGACCGCTCAGCATGGTTATTGGGCGCATAAACGCTAATGAGACATAGAACCTTATCCTTTATGGTAACATCCAGCACGCAAAGTAAGCCCGCCGGATCCGCGAAGACAAGGGTACATGCAACCTTCAAAGAGCTGCTCACTAGCCAAGAGACACCCCTCGAACGACCATCAAAACATGTTGAATAAAGTGCAAATCACTTAGACAGTATATCCTCACGGTCATGAGAAGAAAACCAGGTCTCTTGCACACAACAAACATTCACCCCGATGCGCTGAAGGTCACGAGGGAGCCTCGCCCTGCGAGACTCGGACCTCGGGCCCCGTACATTTTAACTAGCTAACCAGAGTGCCATAATGAAAACAGATTAGAGTTGCAGTACTGGTTTGAACATGATCGGAGTCAGGATACCAACAGCTTCTCCCATAGACCCATGGCCCATCTCAGTCCTGATCGTACCGTCTTGGGAGATTCCGCCGATATCCCAGGGAAACGTTAGTTTTATAGCTCTATACAGGGAGGGTGAACTAAAACGGGGACCCTCCTTGCACAAAATTGTTTCAGCTGCATTAATTGCTTGTTTTGGACAATAGCGGTCGGCAAGGCCATCTTGTACGACATGATGGCCTCGTCCAGCATTCCCCAAATCTGCTTTGCGCCAGTTCCCGTTAGCACCCTTTGAGCGAGCGGGAAGTTTTGAGGCATCTCTACGACTAGGTCGGCATATTGCCTAATTCATAGTAGATATTTCAATTTTTTAATCCGGTTCCCATAATCACGGGCTCTCTCTGGCTGAGCAGTGAAAATACGACAGACATCTACCCCCGTGTTGAAAATGTGTTTGGGCACTTTTTTCTTCCTATCTTTTTGTTCTTAAGTAGGGCTTCTCTGCCGTTTGGAAGAGGGAGGAGGCATTTCTGATTTTTTAACGGGAGGAGGACTGGGAGTGTGCAGAGGGGTGTAGAAGGATCTTTGTTTAGCAGGGGAAGGGCTGGGAGTATGAAGGGGGTGTAGACTATTCTATGTTTATAAGGGCTGGGATCTCTGCTGGGAGGACGAGTTTTCGACGGTGTAATTAGAGGGGAAGGTATCTTTTTGGGTGAAGGTGCGGATCGGGCAGAGGACGTTGAAGGAATAGGAATTGTCTGTTTTTGATTGTCTAATGTCTTTTTATTTCCTTTATTTTTTCAGACTTTTCAAACCCAGGATAATATTTCCTTTGTTGTTCCTTGAATGCTTGTTGAGAGGACGGAGCATCGACCTTAACGTTGCCAGAGGGAGTGGGACTGTGCGTGCCTTTAATCCTTGGGGCTTCAGGGGACAGAGGACCCGCTGTCTCGCGCTTCCCTCTGGCCTTACCAGCCACCAGCCATTCCCCTCTCCCTTTCCCGCAACTGCACTAGCAGCGGGCGAAGGCTCGTTGGGGAATGAGGCATTGTATGTTATGCCAACGGAAGGTTTGACCGAACCGGTCTCGGAAGCTGGCACGCCCATTACAGGCGAGGCGGAAGGTAGAGGCGCGGTCAGAAGGGGGGGTTTGGTCTACTGGAGCTTCCAGACTTCCAGCATGCCTGTTTTCGGCCGGTCACAATGACGGGTAACTTCAAGCTTTTAACAACCAGACAGATGAGGATGGAGCGTAAGGCATCTTCGTTCAACATGATTTCAAAGCTCCACTCCCCCCGTTCAGGCTATCGCAGAAAGCGCCTAGTATTTTGCCGTACTGGGACAGGAACGCGGTGAAGTGTTCCCCGATAACCTGAGGAGGGACCTCCTATACTGCTAGGAGGTCGTTCTTCGACCCTCCATACTCCGTGCGCAAGATAAAATCTTTAGTTATTAAATCACGGGTTGATGCAGCAAAGCAGTC